TTATATTCGGGTCGGCCTATACTCGAGTATATACGGTACCTAAGCCTGTATAACAGCCTACAATGTTAAGAGTCCAACAAAATGCTCCCATAACAGGCCCTTGTTCATAATGACTTCATCTCATAGGTTTCTGCATGGAAGCAAATGACAACATGTGTGTGATATCACACAAGATTCCAATTTACGTAGTGTTTTTGCATAAGATAACCAAAAAGTAAGTTTTCTTCAGCCAAACAACAACAACTACCAAATTAACTTTAGGACTTATGCTATAGCTTGTCTGTCTTTCTCACTTCAAAAAGATGAAACCCTTCAACTATTTTGCAATACAAACTCTCTTTAGGCAAAACATTTCAGACACATCCAGTGCTTTTTCTCCCCTATAGAGCCAAACTATCTTATTCAACTTCCTGTTAGAAAATTACATTTCTAGGATTTTGTTCCGATAGAGGTTGAATTCCTATCTCATGTCCTATACAAGTGTTTACTTATATGCCATGACACTTCACTTCAGTAGTGAAGTTTCTGATTTAATTTATAGAAAATAAGTGCCTCCTTCACAATTTTGATTGTTTGGTTTTCACATAATTTTAAACATTATATTTAATGTCTGTTGGTTTTGGATTGTTAATAACAGTATTAAATTACATTGCCTTGTGAAAAAAGAATTTTTCCAGCTAACTGGTAGGAATTATGCCAAGAATAAGCTGAAAGGTGTCACCACTTGGTACTGTTGGACGAGGACCAATGACTCATTTGCTTTAATAAAAAGGTACCTTTCCTGTACTACAGCAAGTTCCGCTTAAGATACGTGCTATAATAATGTATTTTACAGAGATACCTTCACAAAGCAGAGGAAAAGCCACATCTGTTTACTTACCTTTGAAAGTCCCAAGTTTTATGAGTCTTATCAGACAACAAAGAAAAAAGTACCCAAGAATAACCTGTTACACAATTCTGTCAATTCAGGATTAATTAACAAAGAAGCATAGACTACTTGTTTTACGGACAAACCCCCTAGGCAGAAATTTTTAGAATGTTCTAGAGGAAGTTATACAATAATAATAAAGCCTCATTGCTTTGGTGACTACACACTTGTTACTGGTGGGAGGGGAGTTAAAATTATTAATAAAAGCAGAGTTTAATTAGTACAATTCATTTCATACTAACAAATAGAATTCACAACATTCCATTAAAATCTAACCAACCTTGGAAGAACCACATTGAGCAATTAACATCTCTGGTAACAATTTATTACATTTATATGGCGCCCTTTCCCCCCCACAAGGGGACTCTTGTATTGCATTTTTTCTCTCAGCAACTGGAACTCCCATCTATTCACTCATCCAGTCTGTCCCATTCAACCCACCACACTTTGTGTCTTCTGTTGGTAGCCATGTCTCTAGGCTACACTATGTAGATGAGACAAGACCTTTTTATCAAGGCCTCCTCCTGATCAGGTCTACTCTTTGATTGCTCCCTTCAAAGCAGGCCCTGGAGCAATCGTTCTACTAAGATGTGAATGGGTGGTATGCATAACACAGATAAGACTTAAGAACTAGTTCAGGTGGGACTAGTAGTCTTCAAGCACACTCACAAATGTCCTTCTTTGGAAAATAAATCCATTTTTATCTCAGTGGCAGTCTTGATTGACAGACACACAAGGGACACACAAAGGGTGGAGAATTACTGTATTGTAATAGCAGATTAATGCTATATTCACAGCTGATATTTCTTCTATCTACTGCAGTGGTTCCCAACCTTTTTTTGGCCACGCCCCACCTAAGAATCTCTAGAATCCTGATGCCCCCCCCCCAATATAATTCTTACTTTACTCAAAAAGGAAACTCAACTCTAGGGGGGGGGGAGCCTAAAAGGCCATTGACTTGGTTTAAACAAAGTTCAAATTTCCCCCATTAAAAATCAAATTGCCCCCCTGTGGGGTGTGCGCCTCAGGTTGGAAACAGCTGATCTATTGGATCCTTGTTCTTTTGCTATCAGGTCTTGCTAACAGCAACCATATGGTGAATTGCAAACCTGATACAAGCCATGGTAAATAAGTACTCTGCCAGAGAAGGCTGCCTCGGGGTCCCTCAGAATGCTCCAACTTACTACAGGTTTTAAAATAAACTGCAGAATGTGAGGTATCCTACATTTAATGAGCATCCACTGGCAAGCTTACCCAATCCTATGCACGATGTTTATTAACCAGGAAATGGCTATTGCTTTTTGCAATACTGTTCGCCTGATCTCATACTAGATCCTGTTGTCTATTCACTCTGGCACCTAGTTTACGACTATGGTTAGGAGGTGTTCTTCTGCCATTAAATTTAACGCAGGGCAGTTATTTTTGAGAAGGAAAAGGCTACACCAGCTTCTCTCCTCCAAGCCTACTTTCCCTAATAAAACCCTTCTCCATTTTTCCAAGTGAAGGAGCAGTAACCTACTCACCCGCCCTAGCGTTTCATAGCCTGCAAATGAGAGATACCAGAATGCCATTTCAGTTTATAGATCGCGATTAAGTCGTTGTGGTATCGGCCCTCCAATAAGGAGCCGTTTTATGGGATTACCTTTTAGTTACAATACCATTTGCAGGTAGCCATGCAGCAGGTAGATTTTGTTTCCAAAATAAATAAATAAATGTTAAGTGGCAGGCCCACTTTTCCCGCCACCTGTAGGATGAGATTCCTGTCCCCGCACTAGAGGTGTTTTAAAGAAGCCAACCCCGGCATCAAGACGAGGCGCGGGGAAGGAAAATTAAGAAAGCATCTGCTTACCTCTTGAAGTAGCCGGTGAGCCTGCACTGCTGCCGGCCATCCAGCTGGAAAAACCCGTCGCTTATCACCGTGAAGCCGCCTTCGGGCCGGAGGTGGAGCGGACTCAGCACCGCCAGAGTGTCCCCTTGCAGTAGAAAGGAATCTGGTTGTAGGGAGAGCAGCTGCCGCAGCGGTAACACCGCCATCTCGCAGTTGCACGTCCGAAGGCTCTGCACCTCTCCCGAAGAGACGGAGGTCAAGCTGGGCCTGACCAAGGTTGCCGGGACGGAACCGGACCCGCTCCAGACAGCCATGGCAATTCCGCGCAGGGAGCAGCGGAGAGAGAGAGAGAGAAAAAGATGCGGGAAGGCTGAGGGAGAACCAACAGCTTGCGCGCCAAGATCGAAAGCGCTGCTAAGAAATTGGCTGCCGGTTGTCGGGGAAGAAATAAAAAAAAAAACCACACAAAACCACACACACACACTATGATAGCTCCGCCTCTGAACCGCCGGGGAGTAAGGGCGGAGGAGCAAACCGCTTTGACTGCTCGCCCTCAATTTGTCACCCTGCGCAGCCTCGCGGAAAAACGCAGCTGTGGGGCAGGAAAGTCTGCCGCACTGGCGAGGGCGGATGGCGGCGTAGTTTTCAAAAGACCGGCTTCTTCTCCCCACACTTCAAGACTTGCCCCTGCCTCTCTTACCCTTGGCGGGGGCGGCTTCGTAACCTTACTACGCGCATTCGCGAAGGAGAATGGCTCGTTCACACGTGCAATCACACACACATATATATATATATTTACACACACCTCACGCACTTGTTTCGCTAACTGGACGAGGATATTTAAGGGCTATAGCCTAGGCTAGGAAGTTACAAAAACTTGAGAACAGGGTATTTTAGGCAAAACGGGCTGGTGCTCAACTCTAATCACGTGTTAAACGGCTGCAAGGAAATCTTGTGAAGTTGTGCTAAAGAATTATAAACCCGCTTTGTAGCTCCGGCTCTCCCCTTTTCTGAAGGTGCGTTTGGCAATCACCTGAAAGGTGGGGTTTTTTGCATTTAAGAGAATCTAGTTTCAGCCTGGAATTCCCCTTTAGGTTGGGAAGCCCTGCATTCCTGTATTGTTATGCGCCAAGGATCCTATCACATTGCAGAATATGTAGCTGAGGGCACAGCTATTTTAAAAAGTCTTCTTTCCTTATGCGGTCAATGGAAGGGGGGCACTGTTAACGGTACCCCATCATTATCCTCCTGTGCCTGCTGGCAGTATTGAGCAACGAAAGTCAAACCTTATGCTGGCAAACTTGATTATTACAGGAAGGTAAACATGGAATGTTTGGAGAGAACATGAAAAATGTTTTGTTGATGGCGATTTGTTGGGGGAAAGCTATCCTCTTTGAGGGAGATGGGCAGTTCAGAAATGTGAAAAAGAAATAAAAAATAAATTTATGTTTGTCAGCTTGATTTCTGATAGAGCCAAGTCTACAGTGTTGCTCTTGGTTGCACACTATTTTCTGTACCCATGGTCATGATGTTGCAGGCATGCTGTGTAAACTAATCTTATTTAAAAACTCGATTTATATTTACTAAATATAAACCTATTTTTCAAATGATGTTGCCTCGTTTGAGCAATGTAAAGTCTGCAAGAAAACAAGCTCAGAGAGCACCAAGGGCTTTTTTTTTTATTTGCGATGTACACCCAGTTTAATAAGAAAATAATCCTTTCTTTGTACAATATTGGTTACTGTACTGTCTGATGGAATTTTTTCCTTTTGGGTTTTGAGCTTCTTTTAAGCTCAGTGGAATTTATTACCCATTAGCAGCTGGGTTCTACAACCAGGCATTATTTGACCCATGAGGAATGACTTTGCTCAGGCTGGTTGATGCTATTCCAAAAAAAGTCAGGCACAAACTCCACCCGTGAAATGATGGATATGCATGATGAACTTTAAGAAGTAGCCTGCAGACCTCAAGGACTGGGGAACATCATGTGTCAGCGGTCCAAATATCATCCAGAATTAAATCAGAGTCCAAGGCAGAGCCTTCCTCAAAGTTCCAATTTAATAAGAGAGACATGTTGGTACATCTGTGGAAAACCCGAAACTGAGAGCTTCCTGGTTTCCCCCACCCAGTTGAAAGTTCAAGCTCTTGCCCCACACCCACAAGTCCATCACATGGTCCAATCTTCCACTGCCAAACTGGTATTTCCACCCATCTAGTTGCGGTCAGGTGCAGAAGTGCAGAGACAAAGAATGACCTTGGGGTTCTAGAAAACAATGCTTTATTTAGACAACATTCTACTCCTTACTATTCCCCCTCCCAATTACCCCACTAATGAAACAGCATAGTAAAATAATAGAGAGTGTGGCAGGCCAAAGATCCTAAAAGGAATATGACTGCAGGCCTGACATCATGCAATGGATAACCTAACTTCCATCTTTCCGGCCCTTTCTGTCAACCACCTCAATGCAGAGGGAAAGTGAGAGAACGGAGTAATAGAAAGAAAAAATTGATTAGTGGAAAAGGGATAAATCTTGATGCATGTGGAATCCTTCCATCACCACCACCCCATCAGAACTGATGAAACTCCTTAAATGACAAGTGAAATGTTTTCTTTTTTTTTCTCAAAGAAAAAATAGTTCAGTTGCCTTTTGAAGGAAAAAAAATGCACCTTTGAGCTAACTCTGGATCATTTACTTCACTTTCATGCAGGGGTGAAATTCAGTAGGTTCTTACAGGTTCTGGAGAATCAGTAGTGATTTGAGTAGTTTAGAAAACCGGCAAATACCACCTCCGGCTGGTCCCAGAGTGGGGTGGGAGTGGAGATTTTGCAATATCCTTCCCCTGGAATGCAGAGGGTAATGCAGATTTTGCAGTATCCTTCTCCTGCCAGGTCCAGCAAGCCACGCCCACAGAACCGGTAGTAAACAAATTTGAATTTCACCACTGCTTCCATTGAATGAAGGGGATATTTGTGTCCCAGAATAATGTTGCATAATCCAATCTGCGTTGGTCACTAGGACCAGAGGTTTTCTCTTCTGAGTTTTCGGACTTGTGCTGGAGCTAATCTTCAGGAAACTTCTCTCTAGCAGACATTGTGCTGTTCTCTCTGCTAGAGAGAAGTTCCCTGAGGAAGGGGTCCAGAACAAGTCCGAAAGCTCAGAAGACAAAATCTCCGGTCCCGGTGACTGACCCAGATTGGATTCTTCACTTCCATCTCCTGCCAGTACCAGGCTCCTTGGGAAACTATTCTTCCCCCCCCCATTTTTTTATTTTATTTTGATTCAAACATCATTTTCCATTAAACAGTGTGTCGTCTGAGTACAAATATTTTATACAATTACAAATTACAGTCATGTTTATTATTTTATCTATTCTTGACAATACTAATATTAACATACCACACCTAATACTATAATGGTCCTTTTCTTAACTTATTTAACTTTATTAAAACATTTTCTCTATTTCACTCCTCTGCTTTTTTCCACTTTTCATATTTATTCTCTGGTTATTGATAAATGGCTATCAATTGTTATTGATAAAATAATTCCCATATGTTATAATAATCAAATTGTTGGGAAACTATTCCTGATAGTAGATGGTCTTTAAGAGAAAAAAGAGTTCCTTGCCCCCCTCAAACAAATTGTTGATATGTTTTACATATGTACACCTAATATCAACTATGTTACAAGCTTCAGTCTTGTGTCTACTTCAGTGGTAGTCAACCTGGTCCCTACCGCCCACTTTGTCCGATACTGAAGGAGTTTCCTTTTTTAAAAATTTAATTGACTTTAAAAAAAAATCATAGCATTATTTAAAAACATTTTCATTAGGTTTTCATAAAATCACCATTACGGTGGAACCGGTGGGCGATTAGAAAATTTTACTACTAACAGAGATACAAAAGTGGGTGGTAGGTATAAAAAGGTTGACTACCCCTGATCTACTTAGTTGGCATCAAGGAAAAATTTGGTATCAAGTTTTTCCCGTCAGAAGGAGAGATAATAAAGAAAATATTGGATTGCGCAGAAATGAATAGATTGACATTGAGAATAAAGGATAAAGAGGAATCAGTGTACTTGACATGGGGGCGATTTTATGATTGGTTAGAAAAGAGATATAACTAAAGAGAAATAAAAGAGTACAGAATAAATAACCCAGACAACACATTAATGAAGCAAAGGGTGGGGGAGAGAAAAATAGAAAAAGTAGTAAGATACAAATATACAGATGAAAAATGATATAAATGGATTTATTATAAAAAAAAATTTTCAATGTAAATACAAAGTTGGGACCAGTGGAATGCCATCCCCAGAATCCATTAGAGGAAGAAAATTAGTAAGGGCAACAGCGGAAAGGAGGAAGGAAGAGGAGGGAAAAGAAGAAAGGGCAAAGCAGAGGAGGTAAGGCAAGGGGAATAAGAGTAAGAGTGAGCATATTGGGTTAAAATTCAATCATGGTTAGAGAAAATGATAAATCAGCCCATAGAATTTAAGCCAGATATATTCTTATTGGGTATTCTACCAGAGAAATATACTAAAGAAAACTCATATCTAATTGTACAAATAATTAACAGCAGCTAGAATTGTATTTGCACAAA